TTAAATTGAAAATTGCTGACCACTTATGTTAGATATACATGAGAAAATTATGTCCAGACGTAAATATCTTTTTTTTACAATGTTAGTCAATAGAATAAATTCTACATCTTCAATATGTAAATACCACATCTTACAAAACAATAAAAACTCTGATGACCAATTAAAAATCCAATAGAAATTAATCAAGTGAGTTCAGCAGTATTTGTTTAGTGAACAATGTTGACCAGTTAGATTTATCTCAATGAACTATATTTGGACTTATAGATAATACTTCATGGCAGTGAAACATATTCTTCGTATTTTCACTTGTGTCTTCCGGGCTACTTTCTTCTAAATTTAGCCAATATACACAATTTTAGGGCAAGTCTTTCAAATTGTTATGTAAAAAAGAGAAAAATGTATAAAATAATACCGCAACTAATGAAACATTTTCATACCACTCGGTAAAAATAAATCCTGTATTTATGGGGAAAACTTGAATATCCTCTATGCACTACTGACCATTAAATACTTTTTTATCTTTTATGTCAACATAATATCATTTTTATCATCTGAAATCTTTCGACTTTTTAAAAAGTTTTACACAGTTTATTACATTTCCATGTATGTTATATATAACCTCTTAAGTATTTCCCCTATCTTTTCATATAAAATGTTACTTTTTATTAATTTATTTTTCATTTAGACGTTTTTAGTATACAAAAAAGAAAAAAGACACAAAAAGAAGAAAGAAATCTATTGACAAAAGTAAAATTATTTTCCCATATGTTATCATATAAAATACTATATAATCCAGAGGGCGACAATGCGTTAGTGCGATGACGACAATACAACAGTGCGATGACGACAATGCAAAAGTGCAAAAAATGGTGACGGTGCGATAACGCGATGACGGCAACCCGACGATAGTACTATCGAACTATCGTATTGTCGCCATCGCATTATCGCGCTGTCGCCATCGCGTTATCGCACTGTTGTCATCGTACCATTGCATTATCGCATTTTCCTACTGTCGTCATCGCGTTATTGCTTTGTCGCCATCGCACAGTCGCATTATAAAGTATAACAACGATGACCCTAACAGCATTTCGTTGTTTTAAACTTTATCTGAAAAATATGTAACATAAATACATGTACAATGAAATAAATAAGAAAAGTACTTCTCAAAACTTTATTTTACACAACAAAACTAATAAAATGACCTTGTACGAGCTATTATGTTTTCAAAATTCTCTGTTTACACTAACATTGTTTTACAATACAGATCAATATAATATTTTTTTTTTACTATTTGCAAGTCAATGTGTTACTGAAGCATAGAAGATACTTCATTTTGTGGGATACAATACTGCTACATCCCGCAAATCATAATGCATTAAACAAGGATAATAAAAAGATGTGTTAGATAGATTCTTTTATTTCCTCCAATTATGAAGGACAGAACATACAATATATACATTATATACAAAAATACATTATGCACAATAATTTCTTAACACTATTAAATTAGGTTAACAACAAGAGATATTATACAAAATAATACAGTGACTATTTTAATATAACAAGCATATGTATATATTGTTATTTAAAATTTTTAAGTTTATCCATAAAGAAAACCAGTCTTGTCCGTAAATGAAAAATACACGAAATGGTTGATGGATATTACCAACGGCACAAAATTGAAGTTGTTATAAGTCATTGCCTCTCATATTATTTAAGAATTTTAAGAAACCAAACAGTCATTTCGGAAAAAAAAACAAATTCGTTAATGGCCAATGCCTTAGGATGCAATCGATGTAATAATTAGATAGTAGCAAATTTATTTTACGTGCATGAGACAGAAAATTTTGTTATAAGTATGACCAAGAGTATATTAAAATAGAATCGGATTATTTAAGGTTTTATTTTAACAACGATGAATTATAATGTATTACATGTATTATCAGAGCAAGAGTATATATTTACTGCATGCACTCGATAAAAATGATGGCTGAAACTTGCTCTCAATAGAAGCATGTATGATACTTGTACTCGATAGATACATACATGGTACTTGCATCCATTACAAATAATGCCATCAATAAAAACACGTTTAATACTTGCTCTCAATGAAAAACGCATGATTCTTGCGCACAATAAAAAACGTGTGATACATGCATTCAGTAAATACATGTGTAAAACTTGCACTCAATAAAAAGACGTGTAGTCCTTGCTCTCAATGAAACATGCGTGATTTTTGCACTCAATAAAAACACGTGTGAAACATGCATTCAATAAATACACGCGTGATACTTGCACTCAATAAAAACAAGTGTAATACATGCTCTTAATAAGACACGCGTGATTCTTGCACTTAATAAAAATATGTGTGTTACATGCATTCAATAAATACATGTGTGATACTTGCACTCAATAAAAACACGTGTAGTCCTTGCTCTAAATGAAACATGCGTGATTCTTGCACTCAATAAAAACATGTGTGAAACATGCAGTCAATAAATACACGCGTGATACTTGCATTCAACATAAAAAAGTGTAATACATGCTCTTAATAAAACACGCATGATTCTTGCACTCAATAAAAATATGTGTGTTACATGCATTCAATAACTACATATTGATACTTGCACTCAATAAAAACACGCGTGATACTTGCACTCAATAAATACACGTGTGATACTTGCACTCAATAAAAACAAGTGTAATATTTGCTCTCAATGAAACACGCATGATTCTTGCACTCAATAAAAACATGTGTGATACATGCATTCAATACATACATGTGTAATACTTGCACTCAATAAAAACACGTGTAGGCCTTGCTCTCAATGTAACACGCGTGATACTTGCACTCAATAAAAACAAGTGTAATACATGCTCTTAATAAAACACGCGTGATTCTTGCACTCAATAAAAATATGTGTGTTACATGCATTCAATAAATACATGTGTGATACTTGCACTCAATAAAAACACGTGTAGTACATGCTCTCAATGGAACACGTCTGATTCTTGCACTCAATAAAAATATGTGTGTTACATGCTTCAATAAATACATGGGTGATACTTGCACTCAATAAAAACACGTGTAGTACATGCTCTCAATGAAACACGCGTGATTCTTGCACTCAATAAATACATGATTGTGTGATACTTGCACTCAGTATCAGATGTTTGATACATGCATTCAATAAATACCTGTATGATACTTGCACTCAATAAAAACATGTGTGATACTTGCATATATAAAACACGTAAATTTTTAGGGTGGTAAAGGTTACGGTACATATTTGTAAGTGAAATAAAACAAACGTTTTGCGTAAGAGTTCAAGTTATTTTAGAGAAATACAGTTTGCAATATGTTCACGAGTAACGTTTTACAATTATTGATTTTTTTCCCAATTTTCCGACAGGGATGCGTTCATGAGTGACATAGCTACGAGTGAAAACATAATAAGTGATATGCGCGAGTGCAATGTTATGTGAGCTGACTTGTCAAACTTTTTTTCCAATCATTTATGCTATTTTCCCGGATATCGTTAATCATTAATACTTACATCAGATTTTCTTAAACTGTGACAAGGATGTAAATAATAAGTGTCTTCGTCATTATTTTATAGGTTTTTCTGCCGTCGCAAGGCCACAGAGAAAAAAACCTGGCTAACGACATTACATGATTATGGCACCAGATGTTTATTTATAATTTAGAAACAAGTAGTGTGAAAGATAACGCATGTAATAACTTAGTTAAAGATAAGTGTTAATCATGTGTAGTGATTAATGATTGTATGACATTTTTGCTCCATAATTGTCATAGCTAGTATACGAGTTTCTGTGGTATGAATACAACATGCCACTTTAGAATCTTGTTTTGCAAGAAAGTCTTATTCTTTCACATATTGCCACAATGTGAAAACAACAATAACAACATTATTAAAAGGGATTGCCATACTATTATTATATATAAGTATATGCTTATAAGGTACTTAGAATATAAAAATTCAAGTATCTAATGAGTCACGTGTTCCTGCGTAAAACATGTTTTAACACACTTAAACAAATGCAATTATGTTGTTGTTATCTATGTTTAAGTGGAGAAGTTGTCAGTAATTAGCGGACAAACAGACTGGAACTGGTACAAAATATCAGAAAATGTATATGGTAAGTGGTGGTAGGTACAAGTGAACTTTTGTGAAGCAAAGAAGCGAGAAGATAATAAGTGTTAAAAATCTTGTATCCAGGGAAAAGTTTGACAATTTTCCATAAACAATGTAGTCTTCAACATGTAAAATCATTTTGGATACATGGATTTTTCCAAGTTTGCATGAAGTATTAACGGAGCTTTAAAACTTTAATATTGTTTGACATTTCTGATAAGACTAATGCACATTTATTACTGTCAAAACGTATCGAACGATATTTAGTATCTTCAACATTGAACAACACCCCATAACATTTTTGGCCGTCAGGACTTATCTGCACTATAGTCGACCCACCTCCTAATTCATCTTCATTACCTAATACGAATATGGATCCTTGATCATCTACACATATATAATTTACGTCAGTATAATTTTGAACAAAATAAGTTATATCTAACGTGAATAAATGGTTACCGGAGCTGTCAATAGTAGTCAGCTGATATTTTTGGTTCAAGATATATATCATACTACCGTCATTACTTACTGCGGTGTCAGTATAAGTATACATGTACTCTTCTGATGTGTAAAGCTGTTTTATATATTCACCATCAGTTGAATAAACATATACGGAACCAAAGTCTACAACATATAGTTTGTCACTATGACAGGTTAATGAATAACATGCATGACTTGTGCTGACTGATCTGATCAATGACATATCTCCTGTTACATCAACAAAGTACAGCGCAAACTCATCTGATACTACAGCAATATTATTACCAATGTAACACACATTGAATAGATAGCGGACAGTATTTATTGATAAGGTACTGATAACATTATATTGTTTGTTCACTTTTATAAGCCCACTGTTGTCCACTCAGCTAATAAAATATCTCCTGTAGGTAAAACTGATACATCGGTAATATCACAATCATCCTCGAGTGTATCGTGCTCAATCTTATAGTTCCGAACACTTATTACACTCCTTAATCTCTGCTCATCAACATTTGTATCATCACGTGCGGTATTTCCTTCATGTAATACCTTTGAACTGTAAAATAAAAGCTTCAACAATATAGAAAAAATACCTAAACATTTCACTAAAAAGTACAGTATTTAATTTTCAAAAATCATTCAATAAAGTTTACTTTGATATATATGTACATGTATAGTGAAAGACATTCAAAATGCCAAGCTTAATGCAATTAAATCGTTTTATTTAACAATAGGTGTTCATGACATACCTGTGGTATTTTGATGAATGAAAACACCTTTCAAATACTTCATAGATATACAAATGACGACACTTAATATCATCTAATCCATCTTTGAATATATGTATTATTATAATTATTTTGTTGGAAATTAAGATATACTTTTTTATTTAAAAACCTTTCGCGATATTGTGTTTTTTTTCAAACTTTAGACTTGAGACAATTACATTAAATTTGGGAAATTGATATATGTATACCACTGTTATCATGAAAGAATGAGAAAAAAGTGACCGGTCTTAAAATAATCAATTAACGTGAACGTGCGGCATTTTTATAACTGAAATTAATACACTTGTTACTATATATAGTAACAAAATTGCCTATGATTTCAACTGATTATGAGTGTCACGTGACCTATTATGAGTTTGCGGCCCGGGGCCGAGAACTAGTTATCAGCCCGCAGAACATGTGCACGTGCACAAACTGAAACAATGACGTCATATTTTACGTCATCAAACAGTTAACTGTAAAAGTGAAAGTAGGTTGTCAGCACGAATCGCTTTATTTTTATTATGAGAGCTTAAGCGTATTTAGTACAAACACATTTTTGTTACTATTGAAATTTGAAGAAATAATACGACAAATTTATTCCGAAAAAAGAAGAAAGAAAATAAAACTTGCTTCTTATAGATTCTACTGCTTTGAACACACAAACAGTAAACATCTCTGCACAGAACAGTAGAAGAGTAGACAAGAATTTCAACAAAAGAACTTTGTTGTTTTTTTTTTGTTTTTTTTTAAATGCTACTATTAGATCTACCAAGTGTATTAAAGACATTAATACACGTCAGAGTAGGGCCGGAAGGTGATAATCGGCCCTGAAGGAATAATGGCCCTCAGGCTAAAGCCCTCGGGTCCATTATTCATTTTGCAGGCCGATTATCACCTTCCGGCCCTCTCCTGCCGTGTATTAACCTCTTATTATTGGTTAATTTGTTCAAAAATGAAAAGTCCGATGCACAATTGTTGAACATTTTTCAAGATTTAATGTTCATCAAGACACCCCGGAAGATACCGGAAGTTAGGGATGTCAAGTAACTGAAGTATGGGGTGTTAACGTTTGCGGAAATTTAGCAAATGGACTGTTTGCAAATATTGCTTATAATCAAAGACTAACAAAAATTTAGTAAATTGAAAGGAGATTGCCGTGTTTCATTTCTCTGTACTACTTTTCGGATTAATTGATATTTTACTTTTAAATGCTTGGTACATAGTGTTAAATAATATCATTACCTTCTGGCATCAGTCTGTACAATTCTACCTGTAATACAAACATGTAATTACACTAAATAATCCGTCATATATGGTGACTGATTTGTGCCATTCGTATTAAACTTCGCCCAGCGCCCTCGCTTATTAGCGAGTTTTCGCTCCGCGCTCCCGCCATTTTGACGTGTTAATTTTCGACTTTTCGCCTGGCAAAAACACGAATGGCACAAATCAGCCACCATAGAGATATTATAAATCAGCATGTATTCAAAAATTGTTCTAAGTAAAACTGTTGTCAAATGAGCTGTAACCGAGCCTATGGCACATTCTTTTCACATATATTTCATTATAATTGTAGCAAATATATCGTATGATACATTCAATAATGAGAATACAACTTGTGTCATATATCCCATGCAATAATGGGGATACCACCTCTGTCATATATCGCATTATACATGCAATAATGGGGATACTGAGGACACAGATAACACGTTTTTCTCGAAAAGAAAAAATTATTAGGGTAGCTCCTTTAAGTGCAGATGTTGTGATGCAGAAAATACATCGGAGTGTTTACAACTTTTCTTAAAGGCCCATTTTGGAACAGATTGCATTTATTATTATTTAAAAAAAGTTCTTTGTTTATGTTATGTTATAGTTTCCAAAATATTACTCATTGGCAATTAAACTTAACAATCTTTTGCTTTATTCAATAAGTACAGCTTAAGTGATTTAGTATTTTGTATAGCAGTCTAAATATTATTGTGTTTACATTCTGCCACTTTTTAATTCAACGTTGGGTGCTACTTTATTCGGCGTTTAACATCTTACATGCTTTTTAAACGTTATGTAAACGTTATTGCTTTCTTAAGAAGTACAAATGATTGGTTTCTGAAGCATAATGTGCTGTTAACAATAACACTTGAATATGATTTTACGGCCTTTAGAAACAGAAATTTGGACAACAGTTTGGACAGGGTTTTGAAATAAGATAATGTACATAACTTCTTGACTGGAATACATCGTCGAAGAATAGTTTTGGTGGCCAAAATCTTATTGTACACTTGCGAACTTGCGTAAATTAGTAAAATCAGTCACAATAATACAAAAACAGCGACTGCCATTTTAAGGAAACATTTTCATTTATATTCGAGCACATTTTTATTCACACCTTCTGGTCAGATGTTAGCAAACAGGGTATCCATCTTGTAGTTATTCGCCAAACTTTCAAGTGATTCTTTAGAATAATACGAGTTTAGCTTTTTGATATCCCTGCGATATAGGCTAGGTAAGTGAAAGTCTGACATCTTTGTCAATGATAAGCTTAAATTAATAAATGTTTTTGTCAGTAACTATGGAGCGTTTAGTACTAGACCTATAGACATCTTTATTTGACACGTGCCCATTTTTGAAGTTATGTATCCGTTCCGAAACAGTTGCATAAGATACTTCTTTGTTGCCAAAATATTACAAATATCATTATAAATATTTATAGCAGGTTTTCCTTGTTTTGCTCGAGCTTTTATGCAAGCCCGTGTTTCAGCACTTTACCAGCCATATTGTAAATAAAGTTACTATTGTAATGTATTTCAAAAATAAAGTATCAAAAAGAATGAAAGCCATAAATTTGATATAAGAAGTAATTGTCATCCAAATTTTTCTTCTAATGTTGCAATTCGTTTCAATTCCGAAGATCACTCACTTGATGACTTTTCCTTTATGCCGATTGGTAAACTTCATGATAATATGGGGAGAGTTGAAAGAGACATATGGAATACATGAGTTAGAAACATTTTTCTGCCAAGGTGCTTTACAAATTATAAAATCGTTTTTCAAGTATATATACTTACAACTTTTTACAAACTTTTCAATATCTTTTTTAGTACATATCGGCATAAAAAGACTGTTCTATTTTAATAGTCATTCACTGTATCTAGAAATGTTATTGATTTATTTTATTCTGTACAAATACATTATTTATGTCGATGATATAAGTATTTAATTACCTCCCTTTATTCACGAATATTTTTGATTGTTACATTTATATACTACATTATTCATAATGTATTCATATGATTTTTGATTATTTCATATAACATAAATTGATTTTGAGCATAATACCATATTTTGAATAGATAATAGATAGATCATTTTCATTTTATTTGATAGCTTTATAAGATATACTGATTGATAACGATGTTTCTAAATTATTATCTCCCTTTTTTACAATTTCAACATGTGATTAAAGCACATTTTTTTCGAATTCTAAACTTTCACATAAGTAACTGTTATTTTCATACTTGTTGTAATTATTTACTAGCCTAGTTTCTGTATGAAAATATATGTATCTTTTGATCCAGTTATTTTATGTAATTCTTTTCGAAAATTATATATGCTATGTAAAAAAATTACGTTTATACATACATATGCACATGTTTTATTGTATTACTTATTGTAATATTATAACGTTCCTTTTACGCGCCAAATGTGACGTCTATTAACGTAGACGTTTGTTTTGTACGTTTACGTCATTTTTATTTATGTATCAACTGAGGAAGCTGAATAAAGCGAAACATGTTTTGATACTTAAGTTGTGATGGTTTATGATCCAATTATCCTAAAAGATAAAGTATAAAAAATTTAACCCGTTGACTACACACATGATTTTGGTATCAGTTGAAAGCAGTTGATTTGAATCATTTGATAGTTTACACAAACACAAGAAGCACGAGTTAAATGAGATAATATATTTCATAGTGCATTAGATATCATATTGACCCACCCAGATAAACTTTATATGTTTCTATTTTTTTCAAGATTTAATCTACAAAATCAGAAGTGTGTCGCTCTAATGCAAAGACTTAAAACGTGCATTCGAATAAGGAATATGTATATATATATATATATATATATATATATATATATATATATATATATATATATATATATATATATATATATATATATATATGAATCCGGAGTTAAGTCGAATTATAATTAAGAAAATTAGGTACAAAGTCGTACGCCACGGAATGTCGAAGCCAAGGTGGTTCGACCTACACGTTTGACCTTCTGTAAACCGTGTATTGGTAGAGGAATAGCATCAAAGCTTATGTGAGTCACACGTTGAAAGGGTATCTCCAAACTGCAGCTTGAATTTTTGAAATCGGAAGCCAACTTTTATTTTAAAAAATTTTTGAAATTTTATGCGTATATATCTGTCGATTTTAAAAACCGACGTTAAGTCGAATAGGTGTTTTTGTCTATGATATCCGATCCCTCCTTTACATAATATCGATTTTCTAGCGATATATCAACACAGTTTTGTAAGACCTTTGGATTTGTCGTCATATACATTAGTGTATATTAATCTTAACATGTTTAAAACTGGCAAAATAATTCTTTTTCACAATATACATTCCCCATTTTGAGTAGTTTCTAATCGGAATGCTCTGTTTTCTTGGTTATTTAAGTTGTATAGCATTTTAATAGACCTTAAGTTGAAGTATGAAATTTATATATGAAAACATTAGGACAACACTAATATCATGAATGAAATGACAGTGTTTGGCTCGGTTTCTCCTTCATAAATGTACGAAAATCATTTTATTCAACGTTCACCTTACATTAGCTGTACTAATAGAATAATGATGCCAGTTAACGTCTTCTTCGAGTTTCTAGTAGGGTATTGCTTGAACTCGCAATGTTAGAAAATCACGAATCAATCTAAGTTCAATTGCGTTTTGTGTACTTATTTCTAATTATATTTGTTCCTGGTGGCGTGCCGATGGTCTGTGTGGCTGGTAATTTGTATGGACATTTTCCTCCCTTCTGGATCCGGTTGTTCAAAACGTTGGTTAGTGTTAACAAGTGGTTAAATTCATTATCCGCTGGTTAAATCTTGTCTTTTGGATAAATTCTGTTGCTCAAAACTAATCCAATGGATAAAATTTGTTATCCAGTGGTTAACTTTAACCAGTCCTATGACCACCGAATAATGCCCTTAACCAGTGCATGGTTAGTTATTATCATTAAAACAGTAAAAATCATTAAAACTTGTTTTAAACCAGATTTTTCTTACAAATATATGTTTAATTTTTCTTAACTAGATCATTTCATATGAAATGCATAGGATTAAATTGAAACATTTCTGAAAAAGTGCTTTTAGAACGCTTTTTCAATCAAAATTTGTTGTTGTTGTAGTTCAGAAAATTCAGTTAAACAGTCATAACTTTCTTATTCTTTAATAAAACATACAAGTGTCAGTACTCATTTTCTTAGTTAGAACATAACCCATCTAATGGAAGTAATTTCAATTCAAAATTTGAAAAAAGTTGTTTTTGAATTTTTTCTTATGTGTGTCTAAGGGAAAAATAGATATATCAATACTTTAAGGTCTCTGATATACTTTATGTTTAATTCCAAAAACCTAGAAAGCACAAAACATGCAAAATTATTTCTTTGGGAACTTTTTGATTCTAAAAAATTAATTATCATAAAAAAATCGGCCATTTTGTTTCCAGAATCACTAACCAACCCTGTTGCATTGTGGTACTTAACCAGTGGATAAATATGCTATCCACTGGTTAGGTAGCCAGGGTACTATCCAACTGTCGAACAATGAAATTTTATCCACTGAATAGCTGGCCGCTGGTTAAGGATTTAACCAGTGGATAAGCTATCCATTGGTTAATTTTAACCAATGTTTTGAACAACCCGGATCCTTTTTCATATTTTACCGGTACATGGACATTTTGGCAGTCTCGTCTTTTGCTCGACTATTTGTGAATGGGTGTTTGGGACTCTCGTTGAGTTAAATGTCCTTTGGGACCTTCTGTTCGTGATGTGGCATTATCAAGGGGGTTAATCCATGCGCGCGCATCCTTAAAGTTCTGATACCGCGAACACCTCATCGGCCGGTATTTCGAAGAAAAACGAGTGGTGTGAAGAAATCAGAAAAGGTATGAATTTAATTTGTTTTGCAAAGAAGATGTCCTAACTTCTAGTTTTTATATGCAAAATGTCTTGAAGTAACTCTTTCCTGTTTTGTCAGTATTTCGCGTTGAATGCGATTTTGATTCTGGATAGTGCGTACACCCGGCGTTGAAATGTTACAGAAAATGAGCAAATATCGATTAAACTGGCTGTTTTAAACGGCTGGAAGTTAATCTGTTGTAGAATCCCTTTCAAAAATATATTTTCAACCTTCGTTCCAATTCATTTGTACTAAAAAAGTATTTAAACGCACCCTTTACAGGAAACAGAGATTATGATATTGCGTACACTCTAAAAAAAAATCAGATACTGCGTACACATAACTATGCAATTGATAGAAAGTACATTTTATTTGAAGCAGTCTAAGGTTTATAAATGATAAAGCGGATTGCATGGGTGTCCCATTTGAAGAATTATTTAAAATCTACATCCTAGAAAATGTTTAGAATTAACATTTATTGATGCAATTTGTTTAGGTTATATATTTAAAACCTGGTAAATAATTGTCTATCTTGATAATGTTTTTATACTCTACATTTCAAAATAAATTACTTCTTACAGTCAAATTTATATCTTATTTCAGAAAATGAATGTGTGTCAATTTTGTGGTGAATTCTTTGCCAGTGAATCTTCTCTCAGACAGCATGAGGCACGACATCGGCAAGATGGTCCCTACAAATGTGATATATGTAGTCAAGTGGCTTTTTCGGAGTACCTTTACAAAACACACATGCAGCGTCATTCCTCTGAACGCAAGTACGAATGTAAATGCCGCAAATCGTTCAAGACATCTCATGATTTAAAACGCTATGAACAAAGAGGCCTTCTCTAATAATAAAGATGTTAGTGATCACAAAGATAAGCACGAGAATAGAAAACGTCATAAATGTGGAAAGTGTGGCAAAGGAAACACTGATAAAAGTTCGTGGAACATGAACGCATTCCAAAGAAATAACTTGCTGCAAGCGATTTTAGTTCAAGTTACAAATATTTGCTTTCTTGCGCAATTTAATTTACCATGTTTTTGCCCATGAAGTGTCTGTAAAGATTGCATTTATACCTTAATGCTTTGCCACATTTATGACGTTTCTTATTCTCGTGCTTATCTTTATCCTTATCTTCACTAACATCTTTATTATTAGAGAAGGCCAAGCCACATTCATCACATTTGAATTCCTTTGTTTGGCTCTTTCTTTGTTCAAGGCGTTTTAAATCATGAGATATCTTGAACGAGTTGCAGCATTTACATTCGTACTTGCTTTCAGAGGAATGACGCTGAATGTGTGTTTTGTAATGGTACACCGAAAAAGCCACTTGACTACATATATCACATTTGTAGGGACCATCTTGCCGATGTCGTGCCTCATGCTGTCTGAGCGAAGATTCACTGGCAAAGAATTCACCACAAAATCAACATACATTTATTTTCTGAAATAAGATATAAAATTGACTGTAAGAAGTAATTTATTTTGAAATGTAGCGTATAAAAATATTATCAAGACAATTATTCACCAGGTTTTACTTAAATACCTAAAAAAATTGCATAAATAAATGTTAATTCTAAACATTTTATAGGATGTAGTTTTTAAATAATTTCCATGCAATCCGTTTTATCATTTTATAAACCTTAGACTGCTTCGGATAAAATGTACTTTCTATCAATTGCATAGTTATGTGTACGCAGTATCTGGATTTTTTTAGAGTGTACGCAATATCATAATCTCTGTTTTCTGTAAAAAGTGCGTTTAAATACTTTTTTAGTACAAATGAATTGGAACGAAGGTTGAAAATATATTTTTGAAAGGGATTCTACAACAGATTAACTTCCAGCCGTTTAAAACAGCCAGTTTAATCGATATTTGCTCATTTTCTGTAACATTTCAACGCCGGGTGTACGCACTATCCAGAATCAAAATCGCATTCAACGCGAAATACTGACAAAACAGGAAAGAGTTACTTCAAGACATTTTGTATATAAAAACTAGAAGTTAGGACATCTTCTTTGCAAAACAAATTAAATTCATACCTTTTCTGATTTCTTCACACCACTCGTTTTTCTTCGAAATACCGGCCGATGAAGTGTTCGCGGTATCAGAACTTTAAGGATGCGCGCGCATGGATTAACCCCCTTGATTATGTTCGGGGGTGGGTGCATCGTCCGCTTCGAAATTATTTTGTCGGTTTTTGCTATTTCTGGTGGGTTGTTGTTATTATTTGGTTGTTGTGTCTGTTGGCCTTGTGTGCCTATGTTTGTGAGTCGGTTGGGAGATGATATAAGCTGTAGTGTATTAGTGTAACTGGCTGCGTTTTTCTGAAACGGGCTTTTCTTAAACACTTAATTTGTAAGTGCCTTGA